GCAGGCTGCCAAGAGGTCAGAGGAGAACTCACCACCTCTGTCAGAGTGCAGACGCAGGACAGGAAAGTCCGAGTGGAACCGCTCGCTGAGCTGGAGACGAGAAGCGCGGATCCAAGGGATCAAAACATCAGGGACCTCACCCTTGGTGCGCAAGGGGAAGACCGTGGTGTAGCGCGAGTAGTCGTCAACAACGATCAGGAAGTACCTCTCCTGACCCTGTCCACGGACGCGGGCTGGGCCCCACACGTCCATGTGGAGCGTCTGCAAGGGAGCAGTCGTCGGGGGAAACGAGGAGGAGTGAGGAGCGGCGCGCTGTCGCCCCTCGACACAAGGAAGACAGGGAGGAGCAGGCGAGGGTGGGAGAGGAGGGAGTACCCGGGGAAGACCAGAGACAAGGTACCGTTTGTGCATGGCACGAAGGCGCTGCACTGACGGGTGACCAAGGCGGTGGTGCCAGAGGACGGTCTCGTGTGCTAGAGAGCGACACGAGCAGGGGGCAGACAGCTGACCTGAAGCAGACGCAGACGCAGCTACCTGAGGGGACTCAGTGGTCAGTGTGTACAGGTCCGACCCCGGCTGCCGAGTGAAGGTAGCCAGGTGACGGCCCGTCCGAGCACACGTGCAGTGTGTCACGCGCTCGTAGGCAGGGGTGAACTGGTGGACACCCCCGTCCTGGAGCGCACAACCCGCCACCAAGTTCGTAGAGAACGAGGGGAGGTGGAGACCTGACAGTGTGCCCGACGGAACCGCAGGACAAGGAAGAACAGTGGAGGAGGTCGCAATGACCGGACCCCCAGAGGGGTCAGCAAGGGAGACAGCAACTGGCCGAGCAAGCTACTCAAGGGCAGTGCGGTCACGAAAGAAACAGCGAGAAGCACCTGAGTCCAGTGTGAAGGTGTGCAGTGCCTCAGTAGTCTCAGTACCAGGGGGCGCAGACTCACGAACACCTAGAGCAGCAGCCTCACCAGCACCTGGGGCAACAGACACACTAGCACCTAGAGCGGCAGCCTCACCAGCACCTGAGGCAACCGACACACGAGCACCTAGTGCGGCAGCCTCACCAGTACCTAGAGCAGCAGACTGGATACCCGGGTCAGGCGGCACACACAGGTGACAGGCTCCCTCGGTACTAGTAGACAATGCATACATGGCAGTGAGAATAGCATCATAGGGAAGAGCAAAGATATCTACCCTCTGTCCAAGCAGCGCCACCCAGTCGGGGAGCTCAGCGTCGTCGCCAAACTCTGTACGCCAAGCGTCAGTCAGACGGGCGAAGCAGTGGGACTCTGTGTGACCACGCGTCCCGCAAGGCTGACCAGTCCAGGCACCCGTGCTAATAACGTACGGGCAGCGAGCAGTACTCAGCGACCCTCTACTCTGAGCGTACCACTCACGAAACTGCTGAGGCGAAAGAGGGTCGCGCGGACGACGCTGCTGCTGCACCGGGCCACTACAAGAAGTTCCCGAACTACCCACTCCAGGACGACTCCCACTACGGCCACCCCGACAATCCCAACTGGCGTACCACTCACGAAGCTGCTGGGGCGTGAGGGACACACGCGGACGGCCGTGGAGCTGCATCTGGCCACGCCAGGAGCAGCAGTAGCAGCAGTAGCGGCAGTAACAGCAGTAGCAGCAGGAGCTGTAAAAACAGTAGCAGTGGCAGTGCGGGCAGGGCAGTGCTCACCAGTGGTAGAAAGGGCAAGCGCAAGACGGCAGCGACAGCAGGGCCGCTACAGCTGTAGGGCGGGGCCGGGCCGCGGCAGGGAGCTCCGCGGCAGCTGCTGCAGGGCGGGGCTGGGCCGCGACGGCAGCTGCTCCAGGGGCCAGGGGCGACTCCTGCAGTGGCGGCTGTTCCAGGTGGCCAGGGGCGGCCGCTGCAGGGGCGGCTCCTCCAGGGTCCAGGGGCGGCTGTAGGTGCGGCTGCTCCAGGGGCCGGGGGCGGCTGCTGCAGTGTCGGCTGGTCCAGGGGCCAGGGGCGGCCGTCCCAAGGGCGGGCGCGGGGTAGGGCAGGGCGGCGCGGCTCGGTTCGGGCGGCGCGGCTCGGCTCGGGCTGGGCGGCTCGGTTCGGGCGGCTCGGTTCGGGCGGCTTGGTTCTGGCGGGGCCGTGGCTGTCGCGTGCGGGGCGCTAAGGGGCGGCGCGTGGGGTCGACGGGGCCGACGGAGCCGCTAAGGGGGGCGCGCACGGGGTCGACGGGGCCGACGGGGCCGCTAGGTGGGGCGCGCGCGGGGTCGATGGGGCCGACGGGGCCTCTAAGGGGCTGCGCGCGGGGTCGACGGGGCCGTGTGGTGGGCCGCTAAGGGGCGGCGCGTGGGGTCGACGGGGCCGACGGGGCCGCTAAAGGGGGCGCGCACGGGGTCGACGGGGCCGACGGGGCCGCTAGGTGGGGCGCGCGCGGGGTCGACGGGGCCGACGGGGCCTCTAAGGGGCTGCGCGCGGGGTCGACGCGGCCGTGAGGGGGGCCTCTAAGGGGCGGCGCGCGGGTCGCTAAGGGGCGGGTCGCGGGTCACGGGGCCTTACGGGGCCGTTAAAGAGGGGCGCACGAGGGCGCTGGGGGGGAAGCGCTCGAGGGCGCTCCGACAGTAGGGCGCACGAGGGCGCTAGTAGGCAGTCAGCAGTGGTGGGCCCTAAGAAAAATCGGTCCTAGCGGAGGACCTGCTCTGAAACCATGTTAGAAAGAACGAAACAGGAATGATTGAACTAGCAGAAAGTTGGGTACAAGTAGGAAACCCTAAGTTTGTTGTACCCCCTATGGCTAAACCCACTATAGCCTAGACAATATAAACATACAATGTTTGACACCGTCGTGAGCGCGCCCGCCCGTACCGTCAATGCACGCCGGACGTGAAACCTGTGCATCTGCGACAAACCAAGAACGGAGAATTGTCGCCGGAGGTGAGTACTACGTCGTCACCGGTCCTCCTAATTGGCGCCATATCCTTGTGCACCGCCAAAACACCCAATGTCGTATTGTCCCCTACCAAACAGTACTTCACTGAGTACATTGACAACTTCAACAATGATCGCTTCGGCCACAACAAGTCCGCCATTGTCCTGGTGGCGAACGAAGCACACGAGTCGCTCGACGCCTCGTCGTACGAGACCGAGATGTACGGGTTTCGCGTCCAGCATCTCACCAGCACGAAGATCGTTCACGTCGAGGGTGTATTGGCGCCCTTTTGCCTTCCATGGTTGTGCGGTTTTGTCGAACTTTTCAAGGCTATCATCCGCAGCCGCTATCTCGACTTCATCACCCGGGACGCAGCGTGGCGCATCAAGGGATTAATGCCCATAATTATGTACGAAAACGTCTTGCTGTGGGTAGCATCGGCGTGCGAGACAACTCCTGCCTGGGCCATTCATCTGTCATGGGCGCGATCCGGTGTAATGCCCGTGCAGTGGCGTAAACTGTTGCACCTCACGGATAACAACCCAAGCTGCGTCCCCATCGAGCCACTAATGCACCAACTTGTCCGTCTACAGCTATTGATTAACCAGTACTCGAAATGCGGCACCGGCTTCATGCACGCGGCTGAATACGCGGCGTGCGACGCGCGCATTCTTTCGACGATCGGACGTGGCGTGGACATTGCGGACGAAATCGCCGCTGCGACGGCGGCTCCCATGTCCATGCCCGAAGGCCCGATCCTGCACGACCCACGCTCTCGCCGCCGTGTTGTTCACGCGGTGACAATGTCGTACATGCGCACAGCGGCGGAAATGGGTATAATGCCGCGCGACGTTCCTGAACGTGTAGGCGTCTCTAATGACGAAGTCGTCGCAAGACTCCTGCGCACTCCACGTAAAAGGATGCGCTGTGGTAGTAGTCGCAATGCTGTGACTGGATGCAGCGACGGCGAGAGCGTTGACGCAGCCCAGTTGTTGTGCACCAGCTCCACCTTTGAGTCTTCTGTTAGTGGAAGTAGTTTGTGGTGTTGAATGCCGGTGCCCAGACTGTTTTGGTACGCGTTTGACACTTGTTGTGTTCTGGATTGTACAAGCGTAGTGCAAGGGGTTGGTATATTGCATAAATGCTTCAACATTAATAATCTCATTATAACTGGTGTATGTTGGCGTCGTGTGTAAAGTACATACAACGCGAATCCCCAAAAACACGAGTGGCATTGGATCAGCCAAGAGCGCGCCTAAAAGGAGTGGTAGGTACAGCGAATGTACGTGAATGGGCAAAGCTTCAATTTCGTTTCAAAACAACCCGTTAAAAGGTTCGGAACATTTTCGAGTAAACAATAACATCCACCCACTACACACTTACCGTCACATGCGTGTTTCCCAACGCATGGATTATGGATCCAGAAGGTTCCTGTTTGGCGCGCTTACACATGCAGTTGACGCGTGGATCCATCACGCACAGCCGATAGTGTCTGACACCGCGGACAGAGCTCATCGGATTCACATCATCGTTGCCAAGCGTTGTTCCAACCTCAGTTCTGTCCACAACACCCCTCCTCAAATCCTTGACAACAACTCCACTACAGCAGTTCATGGGCATTCGCGTCCACGCAGCTTACCACAAACTCGATTCAAACCCTAGTTGTCGCACACCATGAAGAGACGTCCTAGGTCTGTTAAAAACGAGCCCGGGAGCTTCGCGACGGGAGCCGACGGTAACATACCTGACATGCTACCTAAGATGCTAACCAGCAGGCCGGACATGGGATCTCCCCCGCGCGCGGACTGCGCAACTAAGCGCGAAATACTGAAGCTTGAACACGGTGGTGATTCACGTGGGTGGAACACGCATGGTCCCGGATGGGAAGCGGACGACGAGCCGGACGACTTGGTAAAGAGGCTGAGAAATGCTGAGAGCCAACGATCGTTCAAAACTTTGTCGCTTTACGGTCCTCACGGCAGTGGCTGCCAAGTCACCGCGCAGGATGCGCTCACTACTCGTGACGGACAGTATCTCGCGGACAGCATCGTTGACTTCCACAACATGTAAGCTCGGTTTGTGTTGGGGTTGATGTTTTGTTAGTTTTAAATGGGACGAGAGTTTTCCCTAATCTGGATATTGATGATTGTCGTGCACAGCTTGCTCAACATACGCCATCCGGTGCTTGGAAATGGCATGACATGGTTTCCTCTGGACAGCAAGGCGTATGTGTATGCCACGCAGCTCAACAAAGCGTGGCCTGTGCCTCGACCAAGCAACATCTTCGCACTGGACTACCTTGCTATTCCAGTCATCGCACAGTGAGGTCTACGCCCTTGAACTAGCGTGCACCATCCACATGTATCACGTTGTTTGTCTCCATATCTCTAAGACTCCATCTGACCGTTGAATTGTTTCAGGCGTCACTTCTCACTCGTGGTTGCCTTAAATCTCGCGACGGTGACATCTGGGAAACTGGCCGACGGAGCAACCGAGAAAGTCATCCTTGTCCACTACGACAGTGACGGGCTTCACACGAAGACGCCCGCGGTGATAGAGGGTGTGAAGAAGTAGGTATTTTGGCGCACACAACTGTCGCCAATATCAATGAAGCGGGGGTGTACACAACTCACTCTCACTATGCGTCTGCCCTACCTGCAGGATGCTTCTGCTCATGCACCACGCGCAACTGCCAACGGATGATCGAGTACGTGCAGGTGTGGCGTTGAAGGAAGCGAAGACAGTGCTAATTAAGGTCAGTACTTGCGACCCCGCTTGAAGAGCTCACGAGTTAATGCGTCTCGAGGTACCTGCAAACTTCAAATGACTGAAATTTGGATCTGTGTGTGCAGAAAGAGGTGATCCCGCAGCAAACGAACGACAAAGACTGTGGAGTGTTTGTGTGCATGTACCTTCATGCCCTCGTCACGTCGGATTTCAAGACTGTCAGGAAGTGAGTGTCTTGCAATGGTGTTACGGCCAAAGACTACAGGCGAGGGATGCGCAGCGATGTGTGCAGTCACGCTGTTGGGGAGTTGTTCGTGCAGCTGTATGTGGAGGAGGTCGAGGTCCTCGTACAGCCTATTGCCCGAATTGGTGACGATGCGTGTCTAATTTTCCCCAAAGAGGACGATGTGCTCACGGATTTAGCACGGTTGTCCCGTGATCGTCGCAACATGGAGCTGGACGGGATGGTTTTGTCATCTGCTGTGATGAGTTTGGCCACCGCTATGGGATACAGCTGGGACCAACTGTCGGCTGCTTGTGCTCATGAGTTGGGCGCTCATGGGCCGCGTCTCCTAACTCGCTCCAGTACGGCTGAAAACCACGCGGAGCGAGAGGCGGCTACACTCTCTCTTGCATCTCTACTCCACAACAATCCCGCACCCCTAACCCCTCTGGGTCTGCAGAGTACGCCACCCCAAAAGGTGCAGGAAGGTCGACTCCATGGGACAGTCGGGGATTTCCCACATGCGACCACTCCGGAGACACCGCAACAAGGTCGCCGCGAGGGAGGCGGTAAACCAAGGTCGGCCGGGCCGAAGGCTAAGGCATCCGCGGCGCAGGGTGAGAAGAAGCGCGGAGGGACTAGCGAGTACTCAGGGGTGTGGTTCGACCAACGCGTGAAAAAGTGGTGTACCAAGATGGTGTGTGACCCCACCACAGGGCAGCAGATCCGCATGGGAGCGTACCGAAAGGAGGTGGACGCTGCCTACGCGTGGGCGGCTGGAGCTTTTGTCATAAGGAGGAAGGACACTTTCCCAAAGGTTCATGAACTGAGTGATGCGGAGATGGCTGCTCTGGAAGGATGCATCATTGATGACGTCCGCCACCTGGTGCAAAAGCGGCAATGGTACCGGTGGAGGGAGTGGAGGAAGGCGATGGATGACATTGGTGTTCTTCCTGGAACCCCCTTCAAGCCGGACACAACGGCAGACGCTTCAACGGGCGACGCAAAAGCCGGACACAATGTGACTCAGGATGAGGCAGCGGATGAAGAGATGCAGGCCGTGGACGAGGGCTCTGGCGAAGAGTGTGATGGCTCAGAGGAGGAGGCGAAGACGCCTTGAGTTGGAGTAGTATTGTGTGTCTATGTGGTTGACAGTTGCTGGTTTAGAGCCTATGTTGGTTGCGGTGTTGGGGTGTACATGTAGTCTTTGCCTGATGACTTTTGGGTGAGCCTTGTATTTCGTGCATCACCAACTGTGCATACTTTTTACGGAACAAGAGGTTGTGTTGTGAAGTGTATCGGACAGAACCTCTACAGGACACTTTGCGTCCGTGAACGAATGGATGGACAGAGTTGGGCCTGGACGAAAGTGATAGAGTCGCGGAGGTAGGTGGGTGCGTGGCATGTTATTGTTGGCCGTTGGTATTTCGTGTAGGACTGTAAATGCCACGTCACACGCATCTCAAGCGTGGACGGTTGGCTTAGACGCTATTGTTTTGTGCACAAAGGGTGGACACGGGACCGTTTTTTACATTGTCTGTCTGGTGTCCACTTTCATCATGGACAGTGGAAATGAGAGCCTCCGGGGGTCCAGAGAGGGGAAACGGCAGCGAGTGACCCAGACTCCCAAGCACCTGAAGCACTATGTGCTGGCCACGGTCTCCAAGCGTCCGCCGGTGCCAAAGGCACAAGTGGCCAGGGCGAAGAAGGCAGCTGCTCGACCTCCGGCGAGTGTTACATCGGACCATGGTACGTTGGTTTAGGTTTGTTTATATGGCATACCAATAGCCTAATGTTTTAACCGTGTCGGACAGACACACTGACACACCATTGCCCGTCTGCCGCAGCGTCATCGCCCACTCCGATGGCACGTGACGACCGAGATGGCGGTAGCTCGTCGTCAAGGGAGACAACCTCTCACCGCCGAAAGTCTGGACCGGCAACGACGAACGATGAAGGACGTAGCGCGCGCCCCGAGAAGCGTCGCAGGGTGTCTGACTGCGCGGAGGAAGAAGGTGAGCCCGATGGCCCACCGCCGCCAGCAGAGCCCGTGTCCTCTGACGACAACCCCAACGAAACACTTCCGCGAGTCAATGTTGTCAACGAGGACAATGCGGAAGCAACCCAAGAGGAACGGTCGGAGTCTGAGCCCGTGACCCGGTCGGAGATTGAGGCGATCCGTGCGATGCAGAAGGACACGGCAAAAACTATGGCGCGCATCGAGACGGCACTGTTGGCGAAGCTTGCATAACCCCAGGCGAAGAAACGCAAGCGTGATACTGTACGCGGAGAGTGCGACAGGACGGTACGCGCAAGGAAGTCTCGTCGCGTGGAGAGTCCAGCGTCATCAGTGGACGATATGGAGCTGGAGGATGAGGTCGGGCGTCACGTGCGGACGTCGAGCTCTCCCATCTTGCAGCGTGCGTTCAAGTTTCTTCCGGCAAACAAGGCATGGAAGGTATGCCACTTTTGTGCTACACTGGATGCGGTTAGTGTGCTTTTGACGTGTGACAGTCCCGTTTGGGCAAGCAACGCTCTTTTAAAACACCCGCTGAACGCGTTTGATTCTGCAGGAAATATGCGAGCAGCTGAGGGTGCATCTGTTTCTCGACGCCGACGACACCGGGATGACGTTCTACCCTAGCAGCGCGGCCGAGACTGCCGGGTTATGCGCCGTCATCGAGCGACTTACGCCATCGTTTGCCAGCCTTGCGTTGGCGGCTGACAAAGGCCGCCGCGGGGATTTGAACCGCGCATTGAGCGACTGGAAGACGGGCACCGCAGGCCGCATCCGCGACATTGCGCTGCCAAAGTTGGGGCTTTTCAGAGACGCGCGGGACAAGCGCAGCCCATGGGCGGCACCCAAGGCACGAAGCGCGTCCAGGGTGAAGGAGCGCATTGGCCTGACGCTTGATGGGAAGGGTACGTGGGGGGTTGGAGGGCGGGGGCGCGGTCTGCTGAACCTTGGGTTGGAGGGGGTGTTGGTTAGTGGTGATAGTTGTGTACTGACCTTGGGTTTTTCGGAATGCATACACAGATGTGTTCGGCATTTCCAACTGGAGCGAAGACCGTGGTGGCATGCCTTTTGCGTCTGGTGCATTTGCGGCATGCGCCCGTGCAGCTTTCAAGCCGAGGATGGTAAACGGAACCGTTACCTTGAAGCTGTACCAGTTGGCGTGGCTCGAGCACGTGGTACGCCCTTCGCCCTGTGTTGTTGCTTCCGCATCTGGTTTCCGTTCGCGCAATTCTGCAAGGCTTACGTGCTTTCAATGTTAATGTGCAGGTGACCGATGCGATTCGTTTCTGGGACACCCGCAAGGGAAGGCTGTCCAACTCTGCGGGTGTCAACGCCCAGATCGTCGACGGACTCCGCGAGTGCGCGCTCGTGGACGTAATGGCTGCCATCGAGCAGTTCCAGCCGGTCTATGACCCCACGACGTCCTCCTGGGCGTGGGGTCGCCATGGACTGCGCCTGTCCGCAAGTGGCATCGAGCACCACGAGGGCGAAGCACAGGCGCCCAGCGAGAGCGCTGGGGATGCGGACGACGCGTCCTTAACTTGAAGGGTCTATGAAAGTAGAGCTGCAGCGGATTTGCAGCGTTTGTAGTTGGTTGTATGGTGTGTAGGGTGGGTACGCAATGCTGTAGGTGGTAATTCGAGAACACAGCATACAACAGTGGCTTTGTGTGAACAAACTACTGCGTTATTGTGTGTGGAGGATAATGGGTAATTATATTATCGTGACAGAATTGGTCGGAGTACATGCCATAATTTGCGGTGGTTAACCACACAATCTTACGAAGCACAGGAAATGCATAATCTATAGATTAATCTGACGTGGAATTTCAACGAATGGGCACCCTGCATGTACGCAGCGCGTTCGGCATCTGTGTCACGATGGACGGATGGATGCGTTCGTTTGTGAAAGGCGGCACGGCCCAACGTCGTGTGACTCACGTGGCGGTGACGGTGTGGATTTGAAGTTACCATGTGACAAGTGAAGGTGTTTTGAGTTGTGACTCGTGGTAGGTTTGCTTGCGAAGGTCATGTCGCTGTCGCCACTTTTTTTTTAACGGCAGGGATGGGGAGGTACGTCCATCGCGTGGTATGCGTCGCGAGTTGTGAACGGTGGATGGCGTGGTTGGAAATGCAATTTTGGCCGTGGATAGTATGTGTGTTGGACGGTGGGTGTGACGCATGGATTCCTAGTGGTGGTGGGTGAGATTGGAATCGCACCGTTGAACACACGCGGTGGAGCGAGGCATGGCCGTTAATCGGGGGTGGATCGATGGTTGTGTATTGTCGCACGAGTGAGTTTGGTGGCCGTGTAGCAAAATCGGAGCCGTTATCATTAGAGTGTTTGGACGGCTGGATGATGGTCGCGATTGTCTATGTCGAATACATCTAAACCGTTGAGCTTAAATTAGGAAAGAGCGTAACAACCTTTGATGAGAATCCACGCGGACGTTTGTGATCGCGCCACGTTTCCACATGACGGGTCCTGCATGTGCGGTAGGAGCCGTTGATGAGACTTTCTAGTTTGAAGATCCTGGTCGTCAAAGGTATGGTTGTAGGGCAACACCCGTCTGTTTACCATTGGGCAGAGGTAGTACACTTAGATGTACGTTCGCTAGGTCGGTGGCGTACATGACACGACCTTGACGTAACTGTTCACCACGTGGCTGCCTACGTGTCAACAGTGAAATTTCCGTGGTTTGTCGTCACGGTTTTGTGCTCTATATTTTGGTGACGGAAACTTCATTTTTCCGTCACAATTACGTCACTGCATCAGTGATGTAATTGTGACTTTTCAGTGACTTTTTTGTGACGGAATTGTGATGCTCGCGTCACTAAATAGATGACGGGCCAAATCGGTACTTTCACCCATGACTTTTCCGTGACCTAAAAAAGTGACGCCAATGTCACAATATAATTACTTTACAGTGAATTTCCGCCCTTGTCTTTTCCGCGATGTGGTTATCAGGTGTGTTCCCGGTCCTTTCATCCTCCCTCCCCCTCTAATTTTTTTTTGTGTTTTTCTCTCGTCGTAAGTCTTGTGTCTTAGTCTCTTGCATTGCAGTCCCATTTGAAGTAGAACGAGAGGGGTTCGCGAGGGGAGCGTGCGCACGAGAGCGAGCACGCAAGAGATTCATCGGAAAAACAAGGGGGTTGGAGGGGTAGGTTGAGTTTCGGGTGCTTCAATGTAGGTCAACTGAGAGTTACGCGACACCTACCTTTGAGTTGCTTTCAACCTTGGCGCCTCGGGAAAATGATGGATGACGAAATTGTGAAATGTCGTGGTGCTTGCGTGGATGTATCTGATTGGTTTTCGATTCACACCTACGCGAAACGTGCTGTTTGCGAAATGTCTCAGGTTTGTTTGAATGTGTGGTGTTTTCGTTCGAACACTTCGCCCGATCAAATTCTTCGGCAAAGGTTCCCTTGTCATCAAAACCCCGCTATGGGACGCTGCTGTTTAGCACTAGGTTATTTTGTGGATGTTACATTTATCCTATCTACATAAAAAGGATCTGTTTACACACACTATTCTTAATTCCATCCATAATTTTTGTAAAACTTATGTTTAACTACTTTGCCTGTTGTGAGTAGCTTTAATGGCTTGTTGGCACTGCTGCTTTTTTTATTTACCCATCGTTTGCAACAACTCACTACATATTTTAACAATATGCAAAAGGGTTTAGAAGCTTCAGAGTGGGTCGCGTGAAAGACGTTATGATATGCTCCGCCCGATTGATCTCAGCAAGATGAATGATTTTGTACGTAGTTGCGCGACGACCAGTACCCAGCTTCAACGAGCACGTCTCGGTGTCCTCCCCACGCTCCTCAAGCATCCTTACGAACGCCAATGGTACTTTGTTATTAACACCGTTCTCTCCGCGGGTCATCACGTGAAATAGCACAAGAATCTGTGCATAGACCACAGCCACTGAAGGTGTTGATTCGTCGGCAGCGGGCGACTTCAGTGAAACGCATGAGAATCAAGCTGCGCCATGGAACTTTGGGGTCGCGCGTGCGTAGTGGCTCTGGTACCCATCTTTCCCTGGTAGAGCCACGGCGGAATGGATCTGCAGTGTAAACAACGTGGACATGCTATGGGATTGCTTCAGGGATAAAGCTAGAGCTGGCTTACATTTCTGACAATGGGCGATTATACGATCATGACATGCAAAACCCATGCTTACATGAATGGTGCTTGTGTGACAACCTGCAGCTCCAAGTGCAGAGGCGAATAGGTCCATGCATGTGCCGTGGTGCTCAGCGTAGCTCTTCCACAGGTTGTCACCACGCCTATTCTCGAGAATGTGTGGCATTGAAACAGGTGTTGATGTTGTTGTCAAAACAGCATGGCAGACCGCATCCGCCTGTTGGAAAAAGGGCGAGTGGAGACAACTTCTATTAAAAGGTTACATAATATGCTTACTGTTGATTCTCGGCGGTGGGTGTGTGTGGGCTAACATGCGTGTCTAGGAGGGCTGGCATGTGGGTGTGAGTGCGCTGGCAAGTGGGAGCGTGTGGGATGGCAAGTGGGTGTGAGTGGGCTGGCATGTAGGAGCGTGTGGGATGGCATGTGGGTGCGAGTGGGCTGACATGTGGGTGTGAGTGGGCTGGCATGTTGGAGCGTGAGGGATGGCATGTGGGTGCCAGTGGGCTGGCATGTGGGTGCAGGTGGGATGGCGTTTTGGTGTGTGTCGGATGGCATGTGGGTGTGTGTGGGCTGGCATGTGGGTGTGGGTGGGATAGCATGTGGGTGCGAGTGGGCTGGCATGTGGTTGTGAGTGGCATGTCAAGGGGTTTGAGTGGGCTGGCATGTGGGTGCAGGTCGGATGGCGTTTTGGTGTGTGTCGTATGGCATGTCGGTGTGTGTGGGCTGGCACGTGGGTGTGGGTGGGATAGCATGTGGGTGCGAGTGGGCTGAGTGTCCGTGGCATGTCATAGAGGTGTGAGTGTGCTAGCATGTGGGAGCGTGTGACATCGCATATGTGTGTGTGCGACATGTAATGTGGGTGTGTATGGGCTGGCATGTGGCTGTGAGTGTGCTTTCATGAGGGTGCATGTGGCATAGGGTGGGGGTGTGAATGGGCTGGCATGTTTGTGTGTGTGGCAAGTAATGTGGGTGTGAGTGGGCTGGCATGTGGCAGAACATCGCAGAACAGTATGGTGTGAGTGGGCTGGCATGTGTGTTTGTGCGGCATGTAATGTGGGTGTGTATGGCCTGGCATGATGGAGCGTGTGGGATGGCATGTGTGTGTGAGTGTGCTGGCATGTGGGTGCATGATGCATACGGTAGGGGTGTGAGTGGGCTGGCATGTGTGTGTGTGCGACATGTAATGTGGGTGTGTATTGGCTGGCATGTGGGAGCGTGTGGGATGGCATGTGGGTTTGTGTGTGCTGTCATGTGGGTGCATGTGGCATAGGGTGGGGGTGTGAGTGGGCTGGCATGTGTGTGTGGCCGGCATGTAACAAGGGTTGTTAGTGGGCTGGCATGTCATGGAGGTGTGAGTGTCCTAGCATGTAGGGTCGTGGGACATGGCATGTGGGTGTGATTGTGCTGGCATGTGGGTGCATGAGGCATACGGTAGGGGTGTGAGTGGGCTGGCATTTGTGTTTTAAGGGGAATGTAATGTGGGTGTGAATGTGCTGGCATGTGGGACCTTGTGACATTCCATGTGGTTGTGAGTGTGAATGGGCTGGCATGAGTATGTGTGTGGCAAGTAATGTGGGTGTGTGTGGGGCTGGCAGGTGGGAGTACATCGCATGTCAGTATGGTGTGAGTGGGGTGGCATGTGTGTTTGTGCGGCACGTAATGTTGGTGTGAGTGCGCTGGCATGATGGTGGCGTGTGGGATGGCAAGTGGAGGGCGCGCTCTGGTATGCGAGGGTGCTGGCATGTGGTTTGCGTGGCTTGGAGTGAATGGTGTGCACATCGTCTCACACCTTCATCAAAGCCGTTAGGCGATGGTTCCGCTCGCCAAGAATCACCGAACGGACGATTATCATGCGCATGATAGCCTCCTCGTAGTCTCGGTAGTTGGATGCCCGGAAGACCCGCTTGCAGGTGGAGGAGTGGGCATGCTCGAAAAGCGCTGTTGAAAATTCAGCCGGTATGCCGCTCCTACGAATTGCATCCGGAAAGTGCACGAGAGCGTGAATCTTCACTAGCCTCCACTCAAATCCGCCACGTGGTAAATTTGTCTTCAATAGCCGCACAAGCCTGAGCACACGAAACGAGGGTGTTAATGCTTTCTTGGACTGAGCGTACTGTAAGGTGAACAATAATGGGAAAAATGGTTATGATGGTTGAAGCGGAATGCTCACTCTGCAGTGTCCGTGAGATATTGCTGCAACATCGTCTCTGTGTACTTTGTTACACAGAAATAAGTGTGGTACCATTTCACGAATGTCCGCAAGACGGTCATCTTAACGTTAGGGATTTGTAGCCCTTCCATGATTAGCAACACCACCTGTGCACAAGGAGGGTTTAGGAGCTTTAACATCGTGTGAGGAATATCAATATGGAGCAATGATAGTCTTCTACATGGCT